CCAGTTGTGTTCTCTCACGCATGCCCACGGTAGCTGAAGCTACCGCTGCGTCATCATCAGCCGCCTTCGATGTCCTCAACACACATCATATTCCTGGCCAAAGTTTGTAGTCTCTCATAGGTTGCACATGCAGAGCTGGACGAGGTTTACTATCTTTGCATTGAACAAGCAACAGGAAAGCCTAAAGTTTATAAAAGTTTTTCTCTCGACAAACTTCTCGATGCTCGCACTTCCGTCAAATATCGACCGCAGTTACTAAATGAAGTGGTTTGCTTGGCCGTGAAGAACACACTCCCTAGTCTTGTGTCCGGTTAATCAGTCTCTTACACCTGGATGGTAACCATGTTTGAAGTGCAAGAAGCTCTACACTCGTAGCATTTGAAGGCTGTGAAGTGAGCAGAATTATTTACATGCACTTATGGATCAATACAATCTTTGGACTATGAACTATGGGGCTATGGGCTACTAACAGCTTAGAAGATGGACATCTTGCGGGCCGTGAGCTTCTGACCCGGACGCCAGCCGATCGTGGGCATCGCGTAGTACTCGGCGATGTTGCAGATCTCGAGCTTGCGCACCTTCTGCATGGCCTGCGCGAACAGCAGCGCGCACTTGATGTTGTTGATGAGCGACACGCCAAAGTCCACGGCGGCACGACGGATCTTGTAGCCGCTCGTCAGCTCCTCGCGGTTCGTTCCTTCCGGCACGTTGATCACCAGCTCGATCTTGCCCGACGAGATGTAGTCAATCACGCTAGGCAGGTCGCTCTCTGGGTCCGAAGGCTTGCGCAGCGCAATGCTCTTGACGCCCTGCGTGGTCAGGTACTCGTGCGTGCCGGGCGTGGCGTAGATCGTGTAGCCCAGCTCCTGCAGGATCAGCGCTCCCTCCGCGAACTCGCGTTTGATGTCCTGGTTGCCGATCGAGATCAGCACCTTCTTCTCCTTGGGCATCTTGAAGCCGGCACTCAGAAGCGCCTTCAGATACGCCTCGTGCATGTCCGTGCCGAAGCAGGCCACCTCACCGGTCGAAGCCATCTCCACACCCAGACTCGGGTCAGCGCCGTGCAGACGCGTGAACGAGAACTGCGGCGCCTTGACACCCACGTAGTCAATGTCGATCAGAGCGATCGGCACCGACTTGACAGGCAGGCCGATCATGGCCTTCGTGGCCAGGTTGATGAAGTTCAGGTCGAAGGTCTTCGAGATGAACGGGAACGTACGCGACGCACGCAGGTTGCACTCGATCACCTTGACGTCGTTGGCACGGGCCATCAGCTGGATGTTGAACGGACCCGTGATGTCGAGCGCCTGCGCGATGGCGCTGGCGATGCGCTTCACCTGCTTGATCGTGCCCACGTACAGCTTCTGGGCGGGCAGCACCAGCGTGGCGTCACCGGAGTGCACACCGGCGTTCTCCACGTGCTCCGACATGGCGTAGTTGAGAATGGCGCCGTCCTTGGCCACACCGTCGAACTCGATCTCCTTGGCGTTCAGGATGAACTTGGACACCGTGATCGAACGCGACATCTTGACGGCGTCGCTGCTCAGGTAGTCCCTCAGCTGGTCCTCGTCCGAAGCCACGATCATACCAGCACCCGACAGCACGTAACTGGGACGGACAAGCACCGGGTACTGCACCTCCTGCGCGAACTCAAGAGCGGAGTTCAGGTCCGTGACCTCCGTCCAACGCGGCTGGTCCACGTTCAGCGTGTCCAGCAAAGCAGAGAATTTGTTGCGGTCCTCGCACTGGTCGATGCTCTCCGGAGACGTACCCAGGATGTTGACGCCGGCCTTGGACAGCGGCATGGCCAGGTTGTTCGGGATCTGGCCACCCACAGACACGATCACACCCTCCGGGTTCTCGCGGTCCCAGATGTCCAGCACGCGCTCCAAGCTCAGCTCCTCGAAGTACAGACGATCGCTCTCGTCGTAGTCCGTGCTCACCGTCTCGGGGTTGTAGTTGACCACGATCGCTGGCTTGCCGAGCTCACGCACCGTGCGCACAGCACTCACGCCGCACCAATCGAACTCCACCGACGAACCGATGCAGTAGGCGCCACAGCCGAGCACCACGATGGCCTCCTCGCTCGTCGGGATGTCGTCCTCGGAGCCGCCGTACGTCATGTACAGGTAGTTGGTCTGGGCCGGGAACTCGGCGGCCAGCGTATCGATCTGCTTCACGCACGGCAGAACGCCCAGCTGCTTACGACGCTCACGCACCTGCATGGCCGTGGCGTTGGGCAGCTTGGCGGCGATCTGACGGTCAGAGAAACCGTTCACCTTCAGCGTGCGCACAAAGCGCTCGCTCAGCGTGTCCAGCGTGAACTTGGGCACCGACTGACGCAGCGAAGAGATGCGCGCCAGCTTGGACAGGAACCACTTGTCGATCTTGGTCAGCTCGTGCACGCGGTCGACCGTGTAGCCGGCGTCCAGGGCCGAGATGATGTAGAACAGACGCTCGTCCGTTGGGTGGCTCAGCTGAGCGTCCAGCACCTCCGGGTTCGTCTCGTTGTCCACGGCGCTGCCGTCCAGACCGTCCAGGTTCGGGTTCACCATACGCACAGCCTTCTGGATGCACTCCTCGAAGTTGCGGCCGATAGACATGACCTCACCCACGGAAAGCATGTAGCTACCCAGGTCGTTCGACACACGCGAGAACTTCTTCAGGTCCCAACGCGGCATCTTGACCACGCAGTAGTCCAGACTGGGCTCGAAGCAGGCCGTGGTCGTCTTGGTCACGCTGTTCTTGATCGACACCAGGTCAATGCCCAGAGAGATCTTGGTGGCCACGTAGGCAAGCGGGTAGCCCGTGGCCTTGGAGGCGAGAGCACTGGAGCGAGACAGACGAGCGTTCACCTCGATGATGCAGTAGCGCTCCGACTTGGGGTCCAACGCGTACTGGATGTTACACTCGCCCACAATGCCCAAGTGACGCACCACCTTCTGCGCCGTCGAGCGGAGCTTGAAGTACTCGCTATTCGACAGCGTCTGCGACGGAGCGACGACGATCGAGTCGCCCGTGTGGATTCCCAGCGGGTCGAAGTTCTCCATGTTGCACACCGTGATGCAGTTGTCCTTGGCGTCACGCACAACCTCGTACTCGACTTCCTTCCAGCCGCGGAGGTCCTGGTCGATCAGAATCTGCTTGATCTGACCCTTCGACGCCGAGCCGTGCAGAGCCTTGGTGGCCAGAACACGCAACTCCTCGTCGTTGGCAGCGAAACCCGAGCCCAGACCACCCAGAGCGAAAGCCGAACGCACCAGCACTGGGTAGCCGATCTCGTTGGCAGCCTTCAGCGCGCCTTCGACGGTCGTGGCCGGCTGACTCAGAGCGATCGTCTCGCCAATCTCCGCCAGCTTCGCCGAGAACTTCTCGCGATCTTCCGTGTCGATGATCGACTCGATCTGCGTGCCCATGACGCGGACGTTGTGACGCTCCAGGTCGCCGTTCAGGTACAGCTCGATACCGACGGACAGAGCCGTCTGGCCGCCCATACTCACCAGGATTCCGTCCGGCTTTTCCTTCTTGATGATCTCCAGCACCGTCTCAGCACGCACAGGTACGAAGTACACCTTGTCGGCTAGACCCTTGGACGTCTGCACCGTGGCGATGTTCGGGTTCACCAGTACGACGTGCACGCCTTCCTCACGCAGAGCCTTGATGGCCTGCGAGCCCGAGTAGTCGAACTCACCAGCCTGGCCGATAGACAGACCACCGGAACCAAGCAGCAGCACCTTGGAGAACGTCGGACGGTCGTACAGAGACGTGTCCATGACCGTGAGCTTGGGCGGGGCGCTGTTGACCTTCTCCAGGAACATGTCAAAGAGGAAGGCCGTGTCCGTGGGGCCACCACAGGCCTCCGGGTGGAACTGCACCGAGAAGAAAGGCTTGTGTTCGTGGATGATACCCTCGTTCGACTTGTCGTTGGCGTTCATGAAGAACGTCTTCCAGCCCTCAGGCAGCGAGTTCGAGTCCACAGCGTATCCGTGGTTCTGTGGCGTGATGTAGCAGCGTGTGGTACGCATGTCGATGCAGGGCTGGTTCATACCGCGGTTGCCGTACTTCATCTTGTACGTGGTGGCACCGGCGGCCAGGGCCAGGATCTGGTTGCCCAGACAGATACCGAAGATGGGCTTGGGGTTCTCCTGGTTGATGGCCCAGCGGATGCTTTCGATGGTCTTGGAGGCCATGGTCGGGTCTCCAGGACCGTTACTGATGAAGATACCGTCGTACTGCAGCTCGCTGTTGGGCAGATCGTAGTCGTACGGCACGACCGTGAGCTCCACGCCCTTGGAGGCCAAGTACCGCACGATGTTGTGCTTCATACCGCAGTGGAAGGCCACGATCTTGGGAGACGCGCCCTTGTTGTACACGGTCACCTCCTTGACAGTCACTTCGGCCACCAGGTTCGTCTTGTTGGGGTCCGCGATCTCAGTGGCTTGGCCCTCGAACTCGATCTTGCCCAGCACGGCACCGAGCGAGCGGATACGCTTCGTGATCATACGCGTGTCGATGCCAAAGAGAGCCGGCACGTTGTGCTCCTTGAGCCAGTCGCCGAGCGACTTGACGGCGTTCCAGTGACTGTGCTGGAACGAGTACTCGGACACAATGAGACCCGAGATCTGCACCGTGCCGGACTCGAAGAACTTGGGCAGGTTGAACTCGTCCTTGACGTCCATGTCGGGCACACCGTAGTTGCCAATAAGCGGGTACGTCAGCACGAGGATCTGGCCGCGGTACGACGGATCGGACAGAGCCTCGGGGTAGCCCACCATACCGGTGTTGAACACCACTTCGCCCGAGATGCTCTTGTCCGCGCCGAACGAGTAACCGGCGTACGTAGTGCCGTCCGCCAGCACCAACGTGCCACGAGAGGCGTTGTCAGTGATGCCCGACACGTCTGCGGCCACGGGAGACAGCACCGGCGCCTGCGTGGCCGGGGCCGCGCTCTCCGAGAAGGTCACCGACGACATGTTGACGAGGTGATGTGTAGGTTGAAGCTTGATGGAGCGGGACGGAGTGATGGTCCCGGTGAGGGTGGTGCTTGCTTGCGCTCTTGGAGGCAAAAGGCAAAGTCTTAGCAGCGAGTGTGCGCAGACCTAAAAAGGTAACGCGTCTTGAAGGCTCGCTCGCGAACACGGCTGAACCGTCGGTAGTTGGAGATCGTGGTGACCACATTTTGGTTGGGCGCTTTTTCACTTGGTGTGAGTAAGTGTATGCCTGGAGTGGACAAGCGCGTCCGTTGGGCCAATTAGGCCCTACGATGGGCACTTGGCCTGTCTACGACGTCCACTTACTCGAAGCAAGTGAAAAACTCGATTTGGGAATTTTTGAAAAAGAAGGCCAAAGATCGTCGCAGACCTTCCGATACAAAAACCAAGTCAAAGCCGGTGGCCAGCAGACGCCCAAACACGTCAGCTAGCAGAGACGGGGCAATGCAAATGCGTGGTGCTGGTGCGCCGTGTTGCGCGCGGAGCTCTTTTCAACTCTTTCCGCTTTTTGCGGCCTAGGGCGCAGGTGACTAGGAAGAGCGAGTGACGCGAAGCGCTGGCGGATGGCGGAGACGGACATGGAGGATACGTGACGACAACGACTGACGAGTGCCATGGAGCTCTTTATAGAGGAGGATGTGTTCTGCCTCATCTACGGATACGTCTACAGCGAGCAGTTAGAGGGCTACGCTACATACAGGTCGGCACACCACCACAAACAAGCAGCGCTAGAGGAGATCGCTACGCAGGGGGGAGATGCTTGTGCATGGCCAACAGGAACAGCTACGAGCTATCGGCGGTGGTGGGGGAGCGATGATGGAGAGCCTGTGGCGTTCATGAGTGTAGAACGGTGGGAAAGAGGACGCTTAGCTTACGCTTGGGGACAGAGGGAGCTGTCAGGGCCGCAGGCTGACGTGAAACAGCGTACACGGCGATGCGGATCAGCGTTGGAAAATGCAGCCTTCTCCGCCTGCGGAACGCGTTCAGATAGACGACGGACAGAGCTACTGCAGCGTGGCCATTGCGGAGCAAGCCCTTTGTGCGCGCATGCGTGCATGCGCCGTAAAATATATTTATTTGTACGATACGCGTTAGTCTTAGGCGGGGTTGCGATGCATCATGGGTTGAACAGGCGCACTACTATCGTTTTGGATGGGCAACCGTGGTGGCCGCTTGTCGATGCTGCCAGCTAGGCGCCGATGCGTGGAGAATGTCGATGGCTTGGCATCGTGCACATTTAGTGCGCTGCTGTCATAAGACTTGGATTGCAGCGGCTGATCAGCAGAGCAGGTATATCAAGTGGAATCGCTTTGGGTGTTGCGGATGACAAAGATCGGGGATACCCTGTCAAACTGTCGGCAGTCAAGACGAGTCGTAGGCTACGACTCGTAGCGCTGGAAGCTATGGAGGTGTCGATGGACGTGTGGGCGCTACATGAGAAGCGCAGTCTTTCGCAGCTTGCTTTGGAATACGAATGATTGTGCCTTACAAGTAGTAACAAACTGAGCTGGTCGTTGTGCTTGCATTGGCTCTCGCACTGGCTGAGGTACTGCTAGTCTTCGTCGAGTCAATTCCGTTATCTTTCTTCACGGAAAACAGATCCATCGTCTGTGGTCAAGGTTGGATTCGAGGCGGTGTTGACGCTTATCACCTTCGTTGAGTAAGCGCGGTTGTCAGTACTGGTCCCCGCGCTCGTCGCAACAATGGGGACGGCATTGACCCCAACGTTGGCACCGATACCCAGTACGTTGGCTCCGACATTGACACCCGTTCCGTACGGGGCATTGCCTACACCGACGCCGACGCTCGTCACGCCAGGCACGCCAACGCTGACGGTCGGACCAACTGCGCCGGGTACGCACACGCCTCCGTTTAGCAGGGCAGGGAGAGCAACAGGCCAAGCGTTTCGGCGACCTCTTTCTCAGCGTGTACGTAGTTCAAGGCAGCAAAGAGAACGAAGGTCCAAATTATCATCTTGTTACTGGGGAACGTGACTTCGATGTGATGCAGTTGTAGAGGAGACTTGGTCCGATGGTGGAGATCGAGCGGTTGCGTCGATGGGTGTGGGCTCAAGAGAGTAAATTTGAGAATGAGGTTGGGCTCGCAAGCCACCCGAGGTGGGCTTCGGAGCTTGTTCAGGGTGCATGGGGCGCACCACCAGACGGTGACCAGGGTAGTCAACCTGAACGTGACATCGGAACCCCTCTTGGGTTGCTTGCCAAGTAGTGTGCTTGGGCCAGTTTGTGTTTGACATGGAAAGCTTGGCTAATAGTTGACGGACATGGGCAACAGGTTTGCTCTAAACAGCTGGAGGTTTGATGTCAACACGCTGTCAAGGTGTCCCAAGTCTTCGGTCAGTGGAGACACA